TTTCCAGCAGCTAACTGAAAGATCACGATCTCTACTTATGATCTGGAGCTTTCCAATCATGTGACGGCCGTGACAGCCAATCACAGATGGTTACATGAGTTGTTGCCTGGCTCCCGGCATCAGAAACCTCTTAAGGGCAGCACAGTGGCTAAATGGTTAGCACTTCCGCCTGGCAGTACTAGGGTCACTGGTTCAAATCCCAACCATGGCACCTCCTGCCTGGAGTTTGCATGTTCTCCCTGAGTCTGCGTGGGTTTCCTCTGGGTACTCTAGTTTCCTCCCACTCTTCAAAGACATGCTGGTAAGTTAATTGGCTCCTGTCTAAATTGGCCCTAATATGTGTATGTATGGATGTTAGTTAGGGACCTTAGATTGTACGCTCCTTGAGGGTTAGGGAATGATGTGAATGTACAATATACTAACCACAGCTTACAAAGCCATCTACAACAGCTACATTACCAACCTCATCCACAGATACCACCTAAATCGCCCACTCCGCTCCTCCCATGATATCCTACTCTCTAGCTCCCTCATCTCCTCCAATGCTCGCCTCCATGACTTCTCCAGAGCCTCTCCCATTCTCTGGAACTCCCTACCACAGCATGTCCGGTCAGCCCCCACCCTGTCTGCCTTTAGGCGATCTTTGAAAACTCACTTCTTCAGGGCAGCCTACCCCACCTCCACCCACCTAAGAAAAAGTGCTGTGCAAACTGTTGGCGCTATATAAATCCTGTATAATAATAATAATAATATATATGTAAAGTGCTGCATAAATTGACGTATTAAGTACCTGAAATAAATAAATAAGGGCCGGGAGGCTCTGGCATTAAGGTGGCAAGTCCCTGACCCCCAGGTTTTGGAGCACATTTGCGAAATGGCTAGTGTAGGGAGAGAGTACACATCTGTCAGGGAAAGCACTAGCAGTAGGGAGAGGTTCCGGGGGAGCAGGGAAAGCTCGGGGCCTACATCTGCACTTCCGGGAGCTGCCTCTTGGGTTGGACTGGCAAGGCCACATTCCACCCTTCTTGGCAAACACTGTCTTCATTTTGGGCCTACTAGCACTGACTCTCTGCTTCACTGATTGGAAGTTCTGGAGGGGGTGAGCTCCCCGCTGAGCAGTTGTACTGTTTGCAAGTTTTTCAATACATTGTTTACTGCACTTCTGGCCTCTGTTTGTTTACTGTCCTTGCTGCACCTACATAAGACACAGCTAGAAATGCTAGAGGGGAGATTCCTCAACAAAAGAAAGCATGGAGACATGGATGGGGGATTTCGCTTTGAATATGAATTAAATAGTGTTTTCAGTTTGTGCGCACAGAGGTAAGGCAAATGTTCCTATTGATGCACGCAGCATTTGAAGACAAGTTCTCCCAGTCTTTGTATCTTCCTCCTCTCCAAAGAGCTTTATAGAGACAAAAAAATAGTAGAGAACAAAAATCAGCTCAAAGTTCAGTGTGTCTATCCACAGTGTAAGTTGATTAGCCAATGCAATGGCAAAATCCTAGCAAACAAAAATCAATATTTCATTGCAAACAAACAGAGAATGAAGCAATACTCGTAATTAAACAGAGTAGTATTTCTGTTCTCCTGCCCTAATTTTTTTACCTGCATGACTTTAAATATCTAGAAGTTATTGTGAAGCAGAGCGTTTTACAATGAGCAACGATTATGAGCATGTCCTCTCTGCTGGGTATGAAAATCACAAGCGTGGTCAACACTCATTTCTAGGTTTACATATGTTTCTCCATATTAGCAGTCTAATAAGAAAACAAGGGGTAGATAAGGCAGAGATAAGAGCTGCAAAGGCCACAAAGACTTTTTGTTTGTCCAAAATGCCAATGCAAACACTAAACATAACCAGGTAACTACCAATAACAGCCTTGCCTGTATAATTATCATTGTGTGTTTGATTATTCACAATCCCTAAAAAAAAAAAATGTACCAACTTACAAGTTTGGCTGAGGTTAGTCTCGGACAGACAGATCTGAAAATTAAGAGCTGGATTCTGGAGTCAGCATTTCTGTCATTTAAAATTTGTGAGCTATGAGAAGAAATGTCTAGGCGTGTGAATATACACGATGGCAACCACTAGCATAAAATAATCCTAAAATGTGATTGCTGTACATAATAAATAATTGTCAAGTATTACTTTTTCTGCAAGTCCTACAGTCTTCTCTTAACATCTAAATCATTAAGCAGCAAAATGCATATTTATTTCCTCTATTTGTGGCATTGTGTCATGGCCGGGGGTCAGGCTCAGAGACCAGTTGCTATAGCAGTCGAGAGATTCCAACCCACAAGCAGGATAAATACACGAGTAGGTCAACCTGCCAGATGACGTGGGCTCATTTGAGGCATGGGGTCTAAGCTGGTATTAACCAGAACTTCTGATGGTGGAGATGGGTTTTTCTGCATGTTAGTACCAGGTCGCGGTCTTCAGGATCGCCCCACCAGAAGGTGAGCAAGCAGGGGTCCAGTTGCAGCTATAGTAGGTAGGGATCAAGCAGAAGTAAAGTCAATAATAAGCCAAAGGTCGGTAACAAGTGGTTGCAGGTTGGGATCAAATGGAAGCATAGTTGAGGATCAAGTCAAAGTCAGTAACTAGTGGTTACAGGTTGGGATCAAGCAGAAGCGTAGTCAATAACAAGCCAAAGGTTGGTAACAAGTGGTTGCAGGAGGGATCAGGTGGAAGCATAGTTGAGGATCAAGTAAAGGTCAGTAACAAATGGTTACAGGTTGGGATCAAACGGAAGCATATTTGAGGATCAAGTCAAGGTCGGTAACAAATGGTTGCAAGTTGGGATTGGGTGGAAGCATAGTTGAGGATCAAGTGAAGATCAGTAACTAATGGTTACAGGTTGGGATCAAGCAGAAGCGTGGTCAGTAACAAGCCAAAGGTCGGTAACAAGTGGTTGCAGGTTGGGATTGGGTGGAAGCATAGTTGAGGATCAAGTCAAGGTTGGTAACAAATGGTTGCAGGTTGGAATCAGGTGAAAGCATAGTTGAGGGTCAAGGTCAGTAACTAATGGTCGCAGAATGGGATCAAGCGGAAGCATAGTCAGTAATAAGCCAAAGGTCAGCAATAAGTGGTTGCAGGTTGGGATCAGGCGGAAACGTAGTCGATGATCAAGTTAAGATCAGTAACTAATGGTTGCAGGTTGAGAATCAAGCGCAAGCATAGTCCAGGAACAAGCCAAAGTTGGTAACAAGTGGTAGCAAAGATATGGACGGCAGCAGGAGAGAAAGAAGCAAGATATTGGCTGGAGAAGAGCACAGTAAACCTGGGAAGTTCATGGGAGGAGCAAAGAGTTCAAGGTTCACAAAGTACAAGGCAAGATTATCCTAAGGTTCAGACAGGGAGCTGTCCAGCACCTGAGGTGGTTCAGCAGGGGAACTACGGCTGAATGCAGCAGAGATTGTGCATTCAGATCAGTAACTAATGGTTGCAGGTTGAGAATCAAGCGCAAGCATAGTCCAGGAACAAGCCAAAGTTGGTAACAAGTGGTAGCAAAGATATGGACGGCAGCAGGAGAGAAAGAAGCAAGATATTGGCTGGAGAAGAGCACAGTAAACCTGGGAAGTTCATGGGAGGAGCAAAGAGTTCAAGGTTCACAAAGTACAAGGCAAGATTATCCTAAGGTTCAGACAGGGAGCTGTCCAGCATCTGAGGTGGTTCAGCAGGGGAACTACGGCTGAATGCAGCAGAGAGAGATTGTGCGTTCAGATCCTAAACCTAACACATTTTTAACAATTACGGGGTGTTTTGAAACTCTTGGAAAGCAATAATGAGTATAGGGAAAAGTTTTATCTTCTAGTAAAACATCCTCAGACCCAAAGCGCCTCTCCAGATTCACCCTTCCACTTGATCTACAACAGGGAGCTGGCTCAGAAGAGCCCTTAGTTACTCATCATCGAAGATAAAAGATGAATGTGAACCACACACCAATCTCTCTTTTTCTGGATACTTTAATTAAAAATACCCATGGAATATCTGCAACTACGATCATTCTACCCAGGAACCACCACCTACCTAACATGTTTCAGCAAGAATAGCTTGATCAAAAGGGTCTGAATTTCCTATAAGGGGCAGACCTGCTTAGAGGGGGATGTTCCAACAAGAAGGGTACAGTAACCAATCTCTACTTCTCTAGATACTTTAATTCAAAACACAGCTGCAACCATGATCACTCCACCCAGAAGCCACCACCTTCTTTACGCATTTCACCATGAATGGCTTGTAGCAGGTAGTGGTTTCTGGGTGGAGTGAACATGCTGCACTTAAGTGTTGAAGTAAAGTACCCAGAAAAGCAGAGATTGATGTGCAGCTCTCATTTACCTTTTATCTTCAAAAGTTTTATTTTGTTACTGTGCTCATCTGGTTGGAACACCCCCCCCCCTTCTAAGCAGGTCTGCCCCTTAAACAAAATTCAAACCCAAGAACACAAAAGTATATGATATATTGCAGCTAGCCAGGTCTTAGATCGGATGGCTGCATTGTTTTTGTTTTTTGTTTGCAGCTTATACCATATTCAGCAAGTACAGAAAATAGCTGATGATTTTGCCAGAAATGCTGAGTCCTTGTCATAGCTTGTGAGCTGAAAAGATAGTACAAACAACCCTAGGGTGGCTGCACACTGCCCTGTTGCAAACCTGTAGGTTAGCTGCACTTTCCCATAGACTTTTAGCAAAAGCACAGATGGGCAGTGTGAAGTCGTCCTTAGAAAGCTCCTGGAACATTAAGAAGTTTAGAAATCCTTCTGTAACCAATGCCATCAGTATGTTTTGCAACAATAAGGTTCCATAGGTCTCGAGAGAGCGCTTTGCTTTTACCCATCATCAGATGTTTCTTGTGTGACACCTTGGTAATGAGCAGGGGCAGACTGACAACTCATGGGGCCCCCAGGCAATAGGGGATCATGGGGCCCCTGTGTCCTTGCGCAAACTCAAAAAAGCCTATGAAATATGAACAAAGCATATCCCCAGGGGCGGACTGACAACTCATGGGGCCCACGGGCAATAGGGGATCATGGAGCCCCTGTGTCCTTGCCCAAACTCAAAAAAGCCTATGAAATATGAACAAAGCATATCCCCAGGGGCGGACTGACAACTCATGGGGCCCACGGGCAATAGGGGATCATGGAGCCCCTGTGTCCTTGCCCAAACTCAAAAAAGCCTATGAAAAAAGGTACCAGGGGCATCTCATGGGGCCCCCTACTGACCCTGAGTTTCCAAATGGTCAGTCCACCCCTGGTAATGAGACACCTTTTTATCATTAGTTAAGACTGATCCAGCTGATATTAATTTGCACTGGCAAGGGGCAGGTTTGCATTCTCATGACTAGATTAGATTTCAGCTGGTGTCTTGGCTTTCCATGCCTTTTTGGACCTCCCTTTCTTCATGTGTTCAATACTTTTTCCCCGTGTCATTCCATTTTATTACACATAACTTAATTTCTGAACTTATTTGTTTTGCTTTCTTTCTATGCATGGATTGTCAATAGCACCTTTAAAAATTTATTTATCTAGAAAAATGGTGAGGTGTTCAGTATTTATTTTACCTGCTGTATATTCCTAAACTCTGCTAAAAAGCAATAAAGGCGTAACAAATACATCAGTTAAAAATGTGTTAATTATTTATTTTTTGCAGCTGAACCAAAACTAACAAAGTCTTACGTAAACCCTACAAGGCAGATAGCCATGCTGGGCCTGGTTTACGAATAGTGGAGGAAGGCAGAGTATTTGTACTTCCCGTATCCCATAAACGATCCGTGACATTATCTGTGGCTAATTTAAAAGAAAGTGCACTGGTTGCTTATTGTAACCTCTCCGTCCCATTGTGGTGGACTCAGTGACATCCAATCTGAGTAACCACAAAGGAGCCATGATATACTGTGAAGGATATCACTAATATTGCATGTGAGGACTTTCTATAGACTACATATGTATGTGTCAGAGTAAAAAATAAATAAATACATCATAATCTTACAGACATGTATACAGACACGCAGCGTGGGTGTCTACACTCGCAGACCGCACTGGAAAATCTGCTCACCGACATTTCTGGTAAATGTTTCCAAATGTTTAATGATATTCAGGAAAGCGTATAATTTAGTGGATGTTCATTTTACGAGGAATTGTGTTACTGACAAACACTCAGTTACTTTAAATACCTAATGACAGACTATGGAAAAATTCTAGACTTTGGGGAAACATTATCATTTGATTTGAATCTGGCTCTATGGAGTCACATTAGACATGGGAGGAGGATGTGTAGCGGGATGGATATGAAAGATATCGCATGTAACTTTATTTATAAGGATGCTGGAAATCACTGCATTGTGGACATCACAGTGACGTTCTGCTCTACAGAGAGAGTGCTGTGATTTCCTATTGGGATTCTGTAGGACTTGTTTGCTTCACTGTGGGGTTGATATATAGACTGTGCACTCTGCAAGGGGACTTGCTCTAGATCAGCGGTTCTCAACCTGTGGGTCACGACAACTTTGGGGGTCGAACGACCCTTTCACAGGAGTCACCTAAGACCATCGGAAAAACACATATTTCCAATGTGTAAAGAGCAGCTACTGTGTAGAAAGCAGCAGTATTGGAGGCAGGGGTGGACTGACAACTCATGGGGCCCCCGGCCAATAGGGGATCATGGGGCCCCTGTGTCCTTGCCCAAACTCAAAAAAGCCTATGAAAAAGGTACCAGGGCATCTCATGGGGCCCCCTACTAACCCCGGCCCTCGGGCAGTGCCCGAGTTTCCCAATGGTCAGTCCGCCCCTGATTGGAGGTAAAACGACACTTCATGAATTATAATTACTGGGTAAATAATTTCATGGTTGGGGGCAGGGGCGGACTGACACCTCATGGGGCCCCCGGGCAATAGGGGATCATGAGGCCCCGGGCCCTCGGGCAGTGCCCGAGTTTCCAAATGGTCAGTCCGCCCCTGGTTGGGGGTCACCACAACATGAAGAACTGTATTAAAGGGTCATGGCATTAGGAAGGTTGAGAACCACTGCTCTAGAGCTTAGTAAATGAGGGGAAGTTCTGCTGATTTCTATCGTCCAATCATGTGCAAGCAAAAATGCAGTTGTGTTCTTTCCCTTGCATGTGATTGGGTATTCTTTGTAAAGTGAAGCTTCACGTCATTTACTAAGCTCTGGAGCAAATCCCCTGCAGAGTGCACAGTCTGTTTGCCTTTAGTAAAGAGCCCGCCCCCGTATTGACTTCCCAACATTCCAATTTCCAAATACTAACAATGTTGTCAATCCTTAAAGCTGAACTCCCGGCAGATATAAAAGTCACAAATGAATGCAGGTCTGTGTTCATTCACACATACATATTTTATTGTATTTTTGTTTCACATCCAAGCAATTGAATTTGGCTTCATATCAGCCTCCTGTAGTCCGCTGTCCAGCAGAAACGCCATGAAGGGAATCAGCTGTACTGCAGTTACAGAAGAAAGCTGATCGAAGCATAGGGGGTGGGGAGGACAAGCAGAGTCAAGTCTCCTGCCCTGCCAGACATGGTGGTGCTGTGCGACAGAACTGTATAAATCACAGGACTGGATGGACAGAAATACAAATGCTTTGGCAGGTAAAAGAGTTCCCATACAGTATAGGTGTTTCATCTGTGTATTCAGCTGTTTGCCTAGATTTCAGATTTAATCTACAAAAACAAGTATTTCTCACACATTTTCCTAATATATCAATAGTCCTTATTGGCTTTTCAGATAGGGGTAGGCTTGTCCTCTATTTTCATCCCTTGCAAAGGACCATGCAACCAGACAGCCAAGTCTGTAATTTAGTATTGATTTACTACATGTATTGACCCTATCTTCTGTGGAGCTGAGCTAAAGAAGGAGCCCATTTATAAAAGCATCACTATGTCTGTACTACTGCAGTACCGCTGGATTTCTTATAAAACAAAAACATCATATTTATGAATCCCTTAGAACCTGCATAAGAAGTTTACTTTGCATTATCACTCCTAACCCTCCATACCACTCCTAACCCTCCATTCTACTCCTAACCCTCCATACCACTCCTAACCCTTCATTCTACTCCTAACCCTTCATTCTACTCCTAACCCTCCATACCACTCCTAACCCTCCATACCACTCCTAACCCTCCATTCTACTCCTAACCCTCCATACCACTCCTAACCCTCCATACCACTCCTAACCCTCCATTCTACTCCTAACCCTCCATACCATTCCTAACCCTCCATTCTACTCCTAACCCTCCATACCACTCCTAACCCTTCATTCTACTCCTAAACCTTCATTCCACTCCTAACCCTCCATACCACTCCTAACCCTTCATTCTACTCCTAAACCTTCATTCCACTCCTAACCCTCCATACCACTCCTAACCCTCCATTCTACTCCTAACCCTCCATACCACTCCTAACCCTCCATACCACTCCTAACCCTCCATTCTACTCCTAACCCTCCATACCACTCCTAACCCTCCATACCACTCCTAACCCTTCATTCTACTCCTAAACCTTCATTCCACTCCTAACCCTCCATACCACTCCTAACCCTTCATTCTACTCCTAACCCTTCATTCTACTCCTAACCCTTCATTCTACTCCTAACCCTCCATACCACTACTAACCCTCCATACCACTACTAACCCTCCATACCACTCCTAACCCTCCATACCACTCCTAACCCTCCATTCTACTCCTAACCCTCCGTACCACTCCTAACCCTTCATTCCACTCCTAACCCTCCGTACCACTCCTAACCCTCCATACCACTCCTAACCCTCCGTACCACTCCTAACCCTTCATTCCACTCCTAACCCTCCATACCACTCCTAACCTTCAATACCACTCCTAATCTTCTATACCATTCCTACTCTTCCATACTACTCTTAACCCTCCATTCCACTCCTAACTCTCAATACCACTCCTAACCCTTCATTCCACTCCTAACCCACCATACCACTCCTAGCCCTCCATTCCACTCCTAACCCTCAATACTACTCTTAACCCTCAATACCACTCCTAACCCTTCATTCCACTCCTAACCTTCCATACCACTCCTAACCCTCCATACCACTCCTAATCTTCTATACTATTCCTACCCTTCCATACTACTCTTAACCCTCAATATCATTCCTAACCCTTCATATCGGTCCTAACCCTCCATACCACTCCTAACCCTCCATACCACACCTAACCCTCCATACCACTCCTAACCCTCCATACCATCCCTACCCCTCCATACCACTCCTAATCCTCAATACCACTCCTAACCCTCCATACCACGCCTAACTCTCAGTACCATCCCTAACCCTCCATACCACTCCTAACCCTCCATTCCACTCCTAACCCTCTATACCACTCCTAACCCTCTATACCACTCCTAACCCTCCATACCACTCCTAACTCTTCATTCCACTCCTAATCCTCCATTCCACTCCTAATCCTCCATTCCACTCCTAATCCTCCATTCCACTCCTAACCCTCCATACCACCCCTAACTCTCAGTACCACCCCTAACACTCCATACCACTCCTAACCCTCAATACCACACCTAACCCTCGATACCACTCCTAACCCTCAATACCACTCCTAACCCTCAATACCACTCCTAGCCCTCATTAACCAGTCCTAGATTTCTTATAAAAACAAAAACATCATATTTATAAATCCCTTAGAACCTGCATAAGAAGTTTACTTTGCATTATCACTCCTAACCCTCCATACCACTCCTAACCCTCCATACCATTCCTAACCCTCCATACCACTCCTAACCCTCCATACCACTCCTAACCCTCCATACCACTCCTAACCCTCCATTCTACTCCTAACCCTCCATACCACTCCTAACCCTTCATTCTACTCCTAACCCTTCATTCTACTCCTAACCCTCCATACCACTACTAACCCTCCATACCACTACTAACCCTCCATACCACTACTAACCCTCCATACCACTTCTAACCCTCCATTCCACTCCTAACCCTCCATTCTACTCCTAACCCTCCATACCACTCCTAACCCTCCATACCACTCCTAACCCTCCATTCTACTCCTAACCCTCCGTACCACTCCTAACCCTCCGTACCACTCCTAACCCTTCATTCCACTCCTAACCCTCCATACCACTCCTAACCTTCAATACCACTCCTAATCTTCTATACCATTCCTACTCTTCCATACTACTCTTAACCCTCCATTCCACTCCTAACTCTCAATACCACTCCTAACCCTTCATTCCACTCCTAACCCACCATACCACTCCTAGCCCTCCATTCCACTCCTAACCCTCAATACTACTCTTAACCCTCAATACCACTTCTAACCCTTCATTCCACTCCTAACCTTCCATACCACTCCTAACCCTCCATAGCACTCCTAATCTTCTATACTATTCCTACCCTTCCATACTACTCTTAACCCTCAATATCATTCCTAACCCTTCATATCGGTCCTAACCCTCCATACCACTCCTAACCCTCCATACCACACCTAACCCTCCATACCACTCCTAACCCTCCATACCATCCCTACCCCTCCATACCACTCCTAATCCTCAATACCACTCCTAACCCTCCATACCATGCCTAACTCTCAGTACCATCCCTAACCCTCCATACCACTCCTAACCCTCCATTCCACTCCTAACCCTCTATACCACTCCTAACCCTCTATACCACTCCTAACCCTCCATACCACTCCTAATCCTCCATTCCACTCCTAATCCTCCATTCCACTCCTAACCCTCCATACCACCCTCAACTCTCAGTACCACCCCTAACACTCCATACCACTCCTAACCCTCAATACCACACCTAACCCTCGATACCACTCCTAACCCTCGATACCACTCCTAGCCCTCATTAACCAGTCCTAGATTTCTTATAAAACAAAAACATCATATTTATAAATCCCTTAGAACCTGCATAAGAAGTTTACTTTGCATTATCACTCCTAACCCTCCATACCACTCCTAACCCTCCATTCCACTCCTAACCCTCCATTCCACTCCTAACCCTCAATACCACTCCTTGGGAGATGCAAAGCCATACTGTTCAAACAATACCAGCAACACCATGCAATTCATAAAGCAATACTATATACCTTACACATGTGGTTTGCATGGTGCCTGCCTCCGGGCACTAGAGCTAGCAAACCCCCTATTCATTATAACGGCTCCATGTCTACAATGTGAAGTAAAAATAGCTCAACAGCTGAGAGGAAAAGAAGACCAATCTTCTCCTCTAACATTTAAATCCAACATGCCAGAGTTTCCCTGTATCCGAAATATACTGCAAGAGCAAAGTCAGAAGCTCATTTGTGCCCACTGCAATCTACAGCCTCCAAAAGAACAGAGATCTTGCCCATCTGACATTGTGACAGAAAGCTCTCCTAGATAGGTAGGAGAAAGGTCCCAAGAATCAAGCAGAGTTTCCAGAGAAAATCTTGGATTCAGACTGGGGACATTTGTCAGAATATAGGGTATAAGTGCCCTTTGGAGAGAGACTGTCACCACTCTGGAGCTGTTAACGGAGTTTGAGCCAGAAAGGCTTTCTGCCCCTATGAACTGCCAATGCAAATTGTCACCCAAATTGCTACTCACAACCAGTGTTGCTGCAAAGATCGGGGGAAGCCTTCTATGCCAGGCATTGTAGGTTGTTGGAACTCAGAAAGTGTCCTAAGATCGTTGTTCTGTACTTCTGGGAGTTGGCAGAGTTGGAGATGACTGGAGACAGCATGCCAAGAGAAATACAATGGTGTACACATGTGCAGTAGAGCTACTATTGGGC